ACAAGCTAATGAAATCGTAAGCCTGTTGCTTGGGTCCATTATAGATACTTCCAGATAAAGCACTTGCACTGACAACTTCTGTGTTTTGCTAATAACTAGCATCATCCGTCACGGGGATCAATGAAGCTGGGAGAGTCCAAAAGTGAGGGTGGGTGGAAATAAACATCTTGCAAGCATCTCTTGTCTTCAAAATCCCTTGGGCTCAGGTGACTCGGTTCAGCTCCCTTGTAAGCTGTGTGCTACTGTTTCACAAAGTAGGTGGTTTAATTTACAGAGCATGCAAAGGACGCCCTCCCCCTTCCCACGTTCCTGTCAGCAGGGAAGTCCTGGCTTGTGATTCTCACATGCAAAGCAGTTGCTGGTCTTCGGTGGCAACATGTGCTGCGCGTTGCTCTCGGGCAGCAAAAGGCCGCCTGCAACATGCTGCCAGATATTTTCCACCCCAAGGCAGCTGAGCTTTTTGCCTCCCTGTGATTAATTCTGCCCACTCGTACAGGCATCATTCTCCCAGCCAAGGAGGAATGGGAGACTCCCTTCTCCTAGTCTCACTATTGAGCAATCGGAGCCCCTCCCACCAGCTCTGTGTATGTCCTGTCTTTACACTAAGATTCAGCCACATGGGCCTAAAACTATAAGGAAAAATAAAGCTTTTGCTTTTTTAAAAAAATGATCTAAGCATAGGCATGTTTACTCAGATGTAAGTCCCACTGTGTTCATTGGGTCTAGTCCCTATTAAGTGTGCTTAGGGCCCCCTGCAGACCAGTGGTTTATTTCAGCTTCATACAAGAAGCACAAGGGCTGCTGATGTTGCTTTCATAAAATCATAGAGTTGGAAGGGACCCTGGGGATCATCTAGTCCAACCCCCTACAGTGCAGGAATATGCTGCTTTCCCTTACGGGGATCAAACCTGCAACAGTGGTATTTTCAGCACCATGCTCTTAACGATTCTGCAACACGTTCTTGCCACAGTAACAGTGCATTGGTGGGGACTTCTCCAGGTTCATTAATTGTTCTACAATGCCTCCCCGATGCCACCACATTATTATTGTCCGGAGGGGCTACTGTGCAACGATAGCAGAAGGAAAATAAACCAGGACGTTTGTGGTATAAAAATTGATGAGATGTCAGCAGGAAGTTGCAGTGAATGAAGCATAGAATCATAGAGGTGTAGAGCTGGCAGGGACCCTGAGAGTCTTCTAATCCAATCCACTGCAATGCAGGATTCTCAACTGACGCTTCCATGACAGATGGATGCTCTGCATCTAACCCATGGGTCAGCAAACTAAGGCCCGGGGGCTGGATCCGGCCCAATTGCCTTCTGGATCCGGCCCACGGATGGTCCGGGAATCGCCGCGTGGATTGGCATGGATCTGATTCTGATCATTTGGGCTGCGCCATTCCTCCCCCTCCCTCCCTCCTCCTGGCTTCTCCCCACCCTGCCAAGAGGAGGAAGGGGGCTGGCCTTTGATTGGTGCCAGCACCAGTAGCAGCGTGATCGCTCAAGTGGCTGCCATTTAAAGCAGCCCCTCTCCAGAGCCCTTTTGTGTGCCACGCATCATCCCTCCGCCACTCCCACCATAAGGTCTGAGGGACAGTGGACCGGTCCCCTGCTGAAAAATTTTGCAGACTCCTGATCTAACCTCTGCTTGAAAGCCTCCAAGGAAGGACAGTCCACCACCTTCTGAGGATATTTGCAGTGTGACCACCCCAAAACTTTTGCAGGCTCAAAAAGTACTGAATGTGTGGAGCATGTACCAGTCTACCCCTGATAGCATCATTTGCACAAGCCTCCACAAATGCACAATAAAAAAAGATGTCCAGAGAGGCCCTAGGATTGCAGCCTTGGTTAGAATTTCATTGGCATGCCTCCCTTTGGTTAACTCCTACAGGAGAGCATTCATTAATGAGTAATTTGCAGTGAGTCACACACAAGAGGAGACGGGCCATAGTTCAGTGGCAGAGCACATGATTTGCCTGAAAAAAGATCCCACCAGATTCAGCCCCTGGCATCTGACCCCTGTCTGAACTTCCGAAGAGCTGTTGACAGTTGTTTTAGAGAGGTCCATGTTGAGCAAGATGGGCCGATGGTCTGACTCAGCATAAGAAAAGTTTGAGAAAATATTTAAGATCAAAGACCTCAAAAACATCAAGAGCAGTAAAGAAACGGCATCAGTGTGTCAAGGCTTGTGGTAGTGTATCACAAACACCACATAGTCTACGTACATATACACCATTGAGTTCATTCTCAGGGGACTTACTTTTGAGTAACTGCGCACAGAACAAGGATTTAGGAATAAAAACATCCTTGGGAGGGTATTTTCTGGACAATATTTCTAACATGGTACTGGACTTTGAAATTCTGAAAATGAGAAGGTTTCAGGAATGAGCTGGTTGCTAACAGCAATTTTATGAATTTATTAGATCCTAAATTTGAAAGCAGAAGTCTCTGCCAAAGTCATATTGAAATAAGGGACTGTAGTTGTATATAGTTATACACTGTTGTTTATAGACGCATCTGAGAATATGCTCCACTGTAGGAGAGAATGTAATCCTATGCATAAAGGTAAAGGGACCCCTGACCATTTGGTTCAGTTGTGACTGACTGGGGTTGCGGCACTCATCTCGCTTTATTGGCCGAGGGAGCTGGTATACAGCTTCCAGGTCATGTGGCCAGCATGACTAAGCCGCTTCTGGCAAACCAGAGCAGCGCATGGAAACGCCATTTACCTTCCCACCGGAGGTGCTTTGACGTGTTTCGAACTGCTAGGTTGGCAGGAGCAGGGACCGAGCAACGGGAGCTCACCCCGTCGCGGGGATTCGAACCGCCGACCTTCTGATCGGCAAGTCCTAGGCTCTGTGGTTTAACCCACAGCGCCACCCGCAAGCCCCACAGTAAGTCTCAGAGAATATGGCAAGGTTTACTTCTGAGTAAGCATGTCTAGAATTGGATTGCAGGGCTGCAATCCTATGCACAGAAGCAAGATGCATTGTACATGGTGGTATTTACTTTCAAGTAAGCATGCAGAAGATTGGCTACATGTTGAAGTCTATGTTCAGTGGCATTTAGCTTGTGATCTTGTGTACATCTACTTGGAAGTAAATCCCACTGAACATAACTATTTTTATTACGGTTTATTAAATTTGAATACTGCCCTTCATTCGAAAATCACAGGGTGGTTCATAACATAAAAAACACAATATAAAAACCACAAAATACATAATAAAATTAGAACAACAACAAACTAATAATCCCCCTCTCCCACAACACATTTAAAAGGGCATTGGATGTCAATCAGCCAGAGGCCTGGTTATAAAGAAACATTTTCGCCTGGCACTTAAAGATGGCCCCAGGAGAGCCTCCCTGGCTTATTGACAAACCAGATATGGGGAACCTTTGGTCGTCCAGATTTTGCTGAAGTACCATTCCCATCGTCCCCAGTCACTGGCTATGCTTGTTGGTGCTGATGGGAGTTGTGGTTCAGCAACTTCTGGAGGCAGTACCAGAAGAAGAGGGGAGGAGGGGGTGGGGTGCCACAGGTGGCACTGAGGCTGCAGGGCTGGCTTCCAGAGTGCCCTAGCTGCCTCCCTCTCAACCACTCTCCAGCAGAGGGGGAGGTGGCGGACAGACTGCCCCAGGTCTTCCCACTTAGTGGTCAGCCAGAACCGCCCATGGCAGGTAGCTCCGCCCCCGGTGCCTGGCACCTGAGCAGCTAGCTACGCCGCTGACTGGAGGGCCAAAGAGCATGGTGCTGATAATGCCAAGGTTGCAGGTTTGACCCCCATAATGGATCCAACCCCATTGCAGGGGGTTGGATCCCCCACTACCCTTCCATCTCTACAATTCAATGATTTGATGAATGCACAAACTTGCTGTAAATTCACCTACAAGTGTAGGGCAGGCCTCATTGCTCTTTTGCAGGGTTTTGTTGACTTATTTGTTTTCTTATCGGCCTCGCAACGTAATCTTGAAACTTATCATATAGAGGTTATTGGGTGGCAGAGCTCAGTGGCGGAACATCTGTTCTGCATGAGGAGGGGTTCCCAGGTGCATTTCTGAGCACCTCCAGGTAGGTGTGGGAAAGTCCGCCGTCTGAAATCCTGGAAAGCTGCTGGCAAGACCTTGTAGAAACAATACCGAGCTAGACGGATTTATGGTCTGACTCAGTACAAGGGAGCTTCCCGTGTTCCTATGAACCTGCCTGGAAGTGTCGCGCGATCAGCTTAGCCCTGATTTCACTGTTTGCTTGACACAAAACAAATATACCTTTTACCTTTGTCAATGGTCATGACAAGTAGGAAGAGAGTAGGGAACACACGTCCCTCTCTCCCTCTTCCTTTCTCTCTCCATCCTCCCTCTGCCCCACCTGATCAGCCTACACAATCCAGACCATAGGATGCCACGTGCAAAAACCATGCTGGGGAATTGCACCATAACTTAAGTTTGCTTTGCATCTTTGCCACTCCGGGAGAACATCCTCATTAGCTGCTGCAGAGCTGTCCCAGCTCCCTCGTCTCCCTTGCATCTCTTATGCCAGAGCAGAGAAAAGGCTGTGCTACACCAATCCTGTCTCACACATGGCAGGAGCACAGCACGCAACTGCTGCCCTCCCACCTCCTACGGCTGCCACCTGTCCCAATGATGCCTGTTGTAAAACTGCTGCATCGTGCAGGGAAGGAGAAGCACACAGGGCAGCGTAAGGGAGCGGTCAGCCTAAGGCAATTTTCTGCTTAGATTAGATTGACTTGGCTCTGGTGCCACATACAGTTCTCTCTCCCTTCTTTTTGGATGTTTGCCCTGTGCTAGAGATATGTATCTTCAACTTAGAAATCAATGGCACCGTCTCATCATCCTGATCCTGGGCCCTTCCACATCTCCTGCCATTCCTCCCTGTACTTCCCTGGCCCTGATGCACCTCATGTAATGTCTGCAGGATGCAGCCAGGTGTCCCCAGCAGGGCCAGCTACAAAACAAAACAATACCTGCCCCATAGATGGCTTGGCCCTGGTATCCTGAGGGATAGCTCATGAGACTCTTAATCTCAGTGTTGTGGGTTCAAGCCCCACATTGGGCAAAAAGATTCCTGCATTGCGGGGGGCTGGAAAAGATGATCCTCATGGTCCCTTCAAACTCTACGATTCTGTGAGTCTGTTAAAAGAGAACAGAGCCCTTGAGAGGGCTGGAGAGGTTCCCAAGATCACGCTATTGGAAGTTCCCCTTTTCTTTCTTTCCCCTGCCAAGCATTTCACAAGGAAAGAAAGTCAGGGAGCAGTTCCTGTCTGCCAGACAATCCCCTGGGGAGCTGTGATGATGCAAGAAAGGAATGGTTTCAGGTCTCCTCTTCCCTTTTCTTTTTAAGGGGGAGGGGAGGGGGGAAGGATTGATTGCTAGAAAAAGAGGGAAGAACTCAGCTGGACTCAGTGCTCTCTCTGGTTTAAGGGGTCTTTCCATGCAGCAGCTTTCTAGCCTTTTCAGTGAATGAATTTGGCTGGTCTCTTTTTAAGACTTCCCCAAATCCTTTCATAAGGGAGAAAGGACAAGAAGATGAGTTTTCATGTCACATCAACCCTGGCACGATGCTCTCTCTCTCTTTCTTTCTCTCTCTCTCTCTCTCTCTCTCTCTCTCTCTCATACACACACACACACACACACACACACACACACACACGTACCCTTCCTTCTCACCTCCTCACATGCTGTAAGATATATTCCTCCACCCTTCAGAGTGCAACCCAGTTTCCCCTTATGTAACACCCGGAGAAAATTCGCAAGCATCTGTAAAGGTGCAATTACCATTAGGCGTGCCTTTCGACAATCAGCACAAATATTTGAAGTGGGCATTATCGTGGCTCCTTCAGGCAGGTGGAGATGTGGGGTACGTAAGTTGTAAGCATCCCATGCTGGCGAGCTGTTACATCACCAATGAGGATGATCTAGAATTACATAACGGGTGTTGTTTTCTCTTGTCCACGTTCAGATTCTGTGACCTTTCCCCGACTGAGATTACTGGAGAAGATCGTGATCGGTGTCATGCGCCGAGACTTCGCCCCACTTTACAGCTGGGTGCTGTGCAGGGTGTTTGGAGCAGGGGGGGGGAGGGATTGCAGTTCCTATGACCACATGTTGCAGAGCCTGGAGTTGCCATGGATACTGTGCTTCTCAGGATTTTGCCACTTGTTGGCAGTCACACTTGCTCAATAAAGCAAAACCAACAGATGTCATGACACCACCAGAGGGCTATATATCGTGGGCTGTTTCTCACCAGCTCATTGTGTGTGGTAGCTGCTTTCTTCCCCCTCTCACTCCAGATGCCTGCTTTCCTGCATTTTACCCCTAGTGAAATAGTCATAGAAGAAAGAGTTCAGTGTACTTTCTCAGATCTGTAGCATGAAGCAGCATTGTAACCCTTCCAGACATGTGCGCTGGGCAACAGTGCACCAAAATGTGACTGCTGAGCGCATCCACATCATACATGTAAAAGTCTCTTGTTCCACTTAAAACAGTTGTGGCTTCTCCCCCCAAAGAATTCTGGGAAATGTCGCTTGCGAACAGCCTCCTAACGATTCCCCCTAATGGGGGACTTCAATTACCCGGATATTTGTTGGATGTCAAACTCGGCCAAGAGCATAAGGTCAAACAGATTCCTCACTGGCCTTGCAGACAACTTCATTGTCCAGAAAGTGGGAGAAGCAACAAGAGGAACAGCCATTTTAGATCTGGTCCTAACCAATGTTGATGACCTGGTTAGTGGGGTAGAAGTGGAAGGATCATTAGGCGCGAGTGATCATGCTCTTCTGAAGTTTACTATACAGCGGAAAGGAGCAGCCAAGCATACTAGGACTCAATTTCTTGACTTTAAGAAAGCTGACTTCATAAAACTTAGGGAAGTGCTGGGTGAGATCCCTGGACAGTAATACTAAAAGGAAAGGGAGTTCATGATGGCTGGGAGTTTGTTAAGAGGGAGATACTAAAAGCACAACGTCAGGCAATACCAATGAGACAGAAACATGGAAGGTGCCTAAAGAAGCCAGGGTGGCTATCTAAAGAACTTTTAACTGAGTTAAGATTAAAAAAGGATGTGTACAAACAATGGAAAAGGGGGGAAACCACCAAAGAGGAATTCAAACAAATAGCCAGCACGTGTAGACACAAAGTCAGAAAAGCTAAAGCACAGAATGAACTCAAGCTTGCTAGAGAGGTTAAAAGCAACAAAAAAGGCTTTTATGGGTATGTTCGTAGCAAAAGGAAGAACAAAGAAACAGTGGGGTCACTCAGAGGAGAAGATGGTGAAATGCAAACAGGGGACACAGAAAGAGCTGAACTCCTCAATGCCTTCTTTGCCTCAGTCTTCTCCGATAAAGAAAACAATGCCCGACCTGAAGAATTTGGAGCAAATGATTCAGCAAAGGAAACACAGCCCAGAATAACTAAGGAGATAGTACAAGAATACTTGGCTAGTTTAGATGTATTCAAGTCTCCAGGGCCAGATGAACTGCATCCAAGAGTATTAAAAGAACTGGCAGATGTGATCTCAGAACCACTGGCAGTCATCTTTGAGAATTCCTGGAGAACAGGCGAAGTCCCGGCAGACTGGAGGAGGGCAAATGTTGTCCCTTTTTTCAAAAAGGGGAAAAGAGAGGACCCAAATAATTACCGCCCAGTCAGTCTGACATCAATACCAGGGAAGATTCTGGAGCAGATCATTAAGCAAACAGTCTGTGAGCACCTAGAAAGGAATGCTGTGATCACCAATAGTCAGCATGGATTTCTGAAAAATAAGTCATGTCAGACTAACCTGATCTCGTTTTTTGACAGAATTACAAGCCTGCTAGATGAAGGGGACGCAGTGGATGTAGCCTACCTTGATTTCAGCAAGGCATTTGACAAGGTGCCTCATAATATTCTTGTAAAGAAGCTGGTAAAATGCGGTCTTGACTATGCTACCACTCAGTGGATTTGTAACTGGCTGACTGACCGAACCCAAAGGGTGCTCATCAATGGTTCCTCTTCATCCTGGAGAAGAGTGACTAGTGGGGTGCCACAGGGTTCTGTCTTGGGCCCGGTCTTATTCAACATCTTTATCAACGACTTGGATGATGGACTCAAGGGCATCCTGATCAAATTTGCAGATGACACCAAATTGGGAGGGGTGGCTAACACCCCAGAGGACAGGATCACACTTCAAAACGACCTTGACAGATTAGAGAACTGGGCCAAAACAAACAAGATGAATTTTAACAGGGAGAAATGTAAAGTATTGCACTTGGGCAAAAAAATGAGAGGCACAAATACAAGATGGGGGACACCTGGCTTGAGAGCAGTACATGTGAAAAGGATCTAGGAGTCTTGGTTGACCACAAACTTGACATGAGCCAACAGTGTGACGCGGCAGCTAAAAAGCCAATGCAATTCTGGGCTGCATCAATAGGAGTATAGCATCTAGATCAAGGGAAGTAATAGTGCCACTGTATTCTGCTCTGGTCAGACCTCACCTGGAGTACTGTGTCCAGTTCTGGGCACCACAGTTCAAGAAGGACACTGACAAACTGGAACGTGTCCAGAGGAGGGCAACCAAAATGGTCAAAGGCCTGGAAACGATGCCTTATGAGGAACGGCTAAGAGAGCTGGGCATGTTTAGCCTGGAGAAGAGGAGGTTAAGGGGTGATATGATAGCCATGTTCAAATATATAAAAGGATGTCACATAGAGGAGGGAGAAAGGTTGTTTTCTGCTGCTCCAGAGAAGCGGACACGGAGCAATGGATCCAAACTACAAGAAAGAAGATTCCACCTAAACATTAGGAAGAACTTCCTGACAGTAAGAGCTGTTCGACAGTGGAATTTGCTGCCAAGGAGTGTGGTGGAGTCTCCTTCTTTGGAGGTCTTTAAGCAGAGGCTTGACAACCATATGTCAGGAGTGCTCTGATGGTGTTTTCTGCTTGGCAGGGGGTTGGACTCGATGGCCCTTGTGGTCTCTTCCAACTCTATGATTCTATGATTCTATGATTCTCAGCTTCCTTTACAAACTACAGTTTCCAGGATTCTTTTGGGGCAAAGCCATGACCCGTAAAGTGGAATTAAAGTGCTTAAAATGTATGTTGTGGGTGTGACGCACATGGAAGTTCCCCACTTGACCATTCCAGTAGGGTCAAAAGATAAGAAAACCAGGTATGGCAAAAGAAGAAGAAGAAAGAAATGGCTCAGGAGAAGCAAATGTATTAATGAGAACTTACCCACTGAATTGTAGCTTTACCTTTTCAAAGCCTGCACTCTTGCATTTGCATGTGCACACAGAAAACTCTCCACTCTAGTGCTGTGTATACTTCCTTGCTACTGCTGGCTTCTTCTTCTTCCTCCTCCTCCTCCTCCTCCTCCTTCTTCTTCTTCTTCTTCTTCGGCTGAGTAAGATTGTCTTCCATAAACACGGTTTTAAAAGTGAGTCCGTAAGAGATTGTGGAGGCCAATTCTGGTTTGACTTACTCCCATGTAGCTCTGTGTAGGACTGAGCCATGCACAATAATCCTATGCATGCTGATTCAGAAGTATCTCTGTGTTCCAATAGGGCTTACCCATTTATAGGTACCTGTAGGATCGCTGCCTTAGATTCTTTTCTGACCTGTCCTCAAAGACACAATGAAGGGAGTGAACAAAATATTTCAAAGTGGAGGATAAATACAAAAATATAGGACACCATTTATACTGTGCCAACCCCATCAAACACAATGTGGCTTACTTGGGAGCAGGAATATCGGAAGCTGCCTTAAACTGAGTCAGACCATTGGTCCATAGCTCAGTATGGTCTGCACTAAGCGCCAGTAGCTCCCCAGAGGTTTTAGGCTAGGTTTTCTCCCAGCCTTACCTGGAGATGCCAGAGACTGAACTCAAAAGACCTCCTGCATGCAAGGTAGATGATCCGACACTGAACTACTGCCTCTCCCTTGAATAAACATGCATAGGATTGCACTGTAAAACCATCAAGGCCTAGTGGTGAAATGCTGTGACTCAGGATTCTCCTTTCTTTATACTTCTGCTTCTCCAAATGCATTGCAGGTGAATTAACTTCTCAAACCTCATTT